GTGACACCTGCCGCTGAGAGGGCACCAAGGGATACCAGGTTGTTACGAAGGGAGGGGATGTAGAGACCTGTGACGGTACCTGAGGGAAAGAGGGGACAGGGGAGTGTGGAGGTGTAGCGGCTTTGTTTTGCAAAGCTTGAGTCAGCCCCAAGTATTGTGGAGGGAGTAGAGAGGGGGAGGAGCGTGCCTGCGTCACGAAGGACCGTGTGTGTGGCTCCGCTGTCAAGTATGAATTCAAGGGGCTGGGAGGAGGAGGAGGACACGCAGTACTGGAATGAGGACTCATTAATAGCATTGGCATACATAGGATCATCATTAATGCTAGTAGCGGAGATATGGCCTATGAAGCCTGTAGAAGGAAACGGTGTGAAGCCCGGGGGGTGAGGGGAGGAGGGGGTCTGTTCAGCAGTTGCAGCAGATGCAGCAGTTGCAGCAGTTCCATGACCATACACAGATGGGGGGTACGGAGGGTAGGGCCAGCCAGCGTAAGGAGGAGGATAGGGGGAGAGAGGAGGATAGGGGGAGGGAGAGTTTTGAGGTGCGAGGGTGGGTGGAGGCGAAGGGGTGAGGGTGGAGGGCGTGGAGGTGGTGGTGGGCGTAGGGAGGAGGTGTTGGACTTGTTGGAGAACGTGAGGGGAGAGGTGCTGGGCGAGGACATTATGGAGGTTAGGTGGAGAGGGTGCATAGGCAGAGAGAGTGCGAATATCATGAGGGGTGGGGCGAGGGGTGATAGTGTTCCAACGTGGAGGGGGACCTGTGTTGCCTCGTGCAAGCCATTCATCAGTGAGGGCTTTGAAGCACGTTTCAGTGGGATGAGTATCTGGTTGCAGGTCTGACCTTTGTTGGGGCCTTGACGAATGACGTACTGGCACGGGGGGAAACCCTCCTGTGGATGGAGTAGTTGCTCCGCGGCCGCCTCGTTCCCCAGTGCGTCCTCCTCGTCCACCTCCGCGACCGCCTCCTCGCCCGCCTCCGTTTGAACCACGTCCAGGTCCGCTGCTGCTGCTTCCGCCAGTGGTATTGGTTCCTTTGCGAGCGTGGACAGCATTGACCGTTGCAGAGTCACGCAGAAGGTCAGCCTCACTGTCAAGGAGCCAGTCGATGGTAATAGCCACAGGAGGAGGACGAATGTGCTGGGAAGTGAAGTTGATGCGGTAGGTATCATAGGTGGGTGGGAGGCAGTCAAGGATGAGAGCTGTGAGGAGGGTGTCCGAGATCAAGATGCCTCTATCATTGAGGCGTTGCGCAGTGTCCGTGAGATGCCGAGTGAAGGAGGCGGCATTGAGGGAGGAGTCAAGGGTGATATCTTGGAAGGTGCGAAAGAGGGAGAGGAGGGAGCGTAAGTCCTGATGATCATATTGGGAGGAGAGAGACTTCCAGAGAGAGGGGGAGGATGGAGGGCGAAGGTCACGTTTGAGTGAGGAGGGAATGCACGAAAAGATGACAGTAAGTGCACGGCGGTCAGCAATGCGCCATGCAGCAGTGTCCGTGTGGTGCTTACGAAGGTTAGTAGAGTACGCTTCGGAGATGGCTTTGAACTCTGCAAGCTTTGCAGTAGCAGCTTCGTGAGCGGCGATGGCAGCCGCGTGTGCTCTGCTCTTGATGACATAATCGTCCCGCTCCTTGTTGTACTTGTTGAGGGTGCGCGCCCACCTATCCGGGTCATCCTCCCAAGCCCCTAGAATAGGGGCTTGAGGGGCGGGTTCGGTCGGGAGTGGTGGGGCGTCGGGGGGGGGAGGAGCCTGGGAGTGGGGGCGGGGTGGGAGGGAGGCCATTAGGTGTTTCGAGGACGACGTCGAGGAGGCAGTAATCTCCCACTCGAACGGAGCCAAGGTATGTGAAAAGGCTTTCCTCAAACGACACCCAATTGACCGCGGTGGTGCCGTTGAGGAGTTCGAGTTTGTCGATGGAGGCGAGCTCAAGTGAAGAAGGTTCGTCAGCCATGACGAGTGAGGGAGGGAGGAGGAGGGGAGGGTGGAGGCGCTAGAGGTGACGACGCTGTCCGGAGGGATAGCGCGGTCGATGGTGGGGATGGGCTGCGTGCTGTCCGCAGCTGGTTATGCCCCGGCTGGTCGCGTTCGCTGCTGCCCGCGTTCGTCGTGTCCGCGGCGGCTGCCCGCGTTCGTCGCGTCCGCGGCTGCTGCCCGCGTTCGTCGCGTCCGCGGCGGCTGCCCGCGTTCGTCGCGTCCGTGGCGGCTGCCCGCGTTCGTCGCGTCCGTGGCGGCTGCCCGCGTTCGTCGCGCCCCCGGCGGCTGCCCGCGTTCGTCGCGTCCGCGGCGGCTGTACGCGTTCGTCGCGTCCGCGGCGGCTGCCCGTGTTCGTCGCGTCCGCGGCTGACGGCCGTGTTCGTCGCGTCCGCGGCTGATGGCCGCGTTCGTCGCGTCCGCGGCTGACGGCCGCGTTCGTCGCGTCCGCGGTTGACGGTCGCGTTCGTCACGTCCGCGGCTGACGGCCGCGTTCATCGCGACCGTGGCTGACGGTGGCGTTCGTCGCGTCCGCGGGTGACGGTCGCGTTCGTCGCGGCGGACGGTCGAGATGAGGAGAGGAGCGTCGAGATGGCGCGAGGGGCGAGGCAGAGCCGGCGGGAGGTGCGCTAAGTGGCGCGAGAGGCGCGGCAGAGCCGGCGAGAGGTGCGCTAAGTGGCGCGAGAGGCGCGGCAGAGCCGGCGAGAGGTGTGCTAAGTGGTGCCAGAGATGCACTAAGTGGCGCGAGGGATGCGCTAAGTGGCGCGAAGGGTCCTAGGATCTTGAGCGGCGTTGGCCGTAAGAGCTCTGATAGCATGTTAGAATTGAACCGTTAATTTGATTAGGGATCAAGAGGGCTTACATAGTTGAAGCTAGGGAAGGTGGGTTGGTTGGGTACCTAGCCAACATTATTGGCCCCCCACCAATAAGTTGGGTTGGAGAATTATTGGGGGGTCCCAATAATGTTGGCCAAAGTGAGCCAACATTATTGGGGGGGCCAATAATCTCCCAACCCAACCTTGGGGGCCAATAATTGGGCCAAGGTTGGGTTCCAACCCCCAACTAGGGTTAACCCTAGTTTGTGCACCCAAACATAGTTTGGGTGCTTATCTCTATCCTAGGGTTTATAGGATCAATGTAGGATACAAAAGAGTAGTATAATCTAACAGTGCTGCCATCACTCTGCACCGTGCTGCCATCACTCTGCACCGTGCTGCCATCACTCTGCACCGTGCTGCCATCACTCTGCACCGTGCTGCCATCACTCTGCACCGTGCTGCTATCACTCTGCACCGTGCTGCCATCACTCTGCACCGTGCTGCCATCACTGTGCACCGTGCTGCCATCACTCTGCACCGTGCTGCCATCACTCTGCACCGTGCTGCCATCACTCTGCACCGTGCTGCCATCACTCTGCACCGTGCTGCCATCACTCTGCACCATGCTGCCATCACTCTGCACCGTGCTGCCCTGTGTGTCCTTCACTGTTCGCTGCGTGCACCGCCCATGCCCTATGTGCCGCCCATGCCCTATGTGCCGCCCATGCCCTATGTGCCGCCCATGCCCTATGTGCCGCCCATGCCCTATGTGCCGCCCATGCCCTATGTGCCGCCCATGCCCTATGTGCCGCCCATGCCATATGTGCAGCCCATGGGCTCATTGCAGCATGCAACCTCCATGCACACCCCCCTCTCTCACATGCCCTTCTTTCAATTGTTTGTCCCACCTCCACCCCCCAGGCATCGTGCTGTTCCCCGAGCAGACGCTGCCCCTGCGCGTGCAGCAGGCGCGGTTCAGGGCGGCTGTGACGCGCGCCATGGGGGCCACGGGGCAGGCCGCGCACCTGCTGGGCGTGGTGAGGGGCGGGGCGCACATGGTGGGGCAGCGCATGGGGGGGTGGAGGTACTGGGGGAACCAATTTGGATGACGTTGGGACGAGAGGCAGTGTGGAGTTGAGTGAACGTCAACTAAAGCCATTGCTAGCTATGCTGCAGGCCTCTATATGCTATGTATGAGTAGACGAGTTTTTCTTTCGTTTATGTGCATGTCCATGTGTGTGTACATGTCCATGTGTGTGTACGGGCATGTGAATGTGTATGCTTGCACGTGTGTGTGGGGGGGGAGGAGGGGGGGGAGTGGGGGGGGGGGGTTGGGGGGTGGGTGTGGGTGTGCATGCATGAGTGCATGGCATGGGTGCGTGCAGGTGCATGTGCACATGGACCCACATGGCTTTGACATCCGCGTGGCATCAGTGGGCACAACAGCAGAGGTGCGTCATGCATGTGCGTTCACAACCTTACAGGCCACCGCTTGCACCAGGGCACAGCTGCCGTGTGTGCCAGGCACGTCTCAGTCCTCTGCACTGCCTTGTGGCCCCCGTGTGCGCTTGCTTCTCTCCTCTCAGATCCGGCGGGTGCGGCAGCAGGAGGGCGGGAGCATGAGTGTGGTAACGAGGGGTCGTCAGCGCTTCCTTGTGCGCCGCGCCTGGATGGACCCCGATGGCTCCGTGCGTACCCCCCGCCCCCCGCCCCCCGCCCCCCCCCCCGCCCCCTGCCCCCTGCCCCCTGCCCCCTGCCCCCTGCCCCCTGCCCCCTGCCCCCTGCCCCCTGCCCCCTGCCCCCTGCCCCCTGCCCCCTGCCCCCTGCCCCCCCCCCCTGCCCCCTGCCCCCTGCCCCCTGCCCCCTGCCCCCTGCCCCCTGCCCCCTGCCCCCTGCCCCCTGCCCCCTGCCCCCTGCCCCCTGCCCCCTGCCCCCTGCCCCCTGCCCCCTGCCCCCTGCCCCCCGCCCCCTGCCCCCCGCCCCCTGCCCCCCGCCCCCCGCCCCCTGCCCCCCGCCCCCCGCCCCCTGCCCCCTGCCCCCTGCCCCCTGCCCCCTGCCCCCTGCCCCCTGCCCCCTGCCCCCTGCCCCCCGCCCCCCGCCCCCTGCCCCCTGCCCCCTGCCCCCTGCCCCCTGCCCCCTGCCCCCTGCCCCCTGCCCCCTGCCCCTCCTCTCTGTGCATTGTCTGCGCCAGTGTGTGTGCCGTGCTCCATCGATGTGGATGAGCCTCATAACATTTGCTGCTGCCAACTGCACACCACTGTCCAGCCTTGCCGATTTACTCCCACTTCTCTATTGCTATTGCTGTCTTCGTCTTTATTCAGACCCTTCCACGCCTTCTGTTGTTTGTCACTGCCTTGTTGCTTATGCTCCTTGTTCATCATCATTCTCACTGCACCCCCACCATCTCCCTTCGCCTATTCCCATTCCGTCCCAACCCTCCTCTTTCTCTATCTCACAGCCGTGTGTCAGACTCTTGACAAGGCAATTCGTGTTCCCCAACCCCTCCTGCTCCCTCTGCCCCCCTCTGCCCCCCTGCGCGCCCACCCTCGCCCCTCGCAGCCGGCCGCGGAGGTGCAGATTCTCGACGACGCCACCCCCCCTGCGCCTGCCAGCTGCCGCCTTCTCGCGCTGCCGCGGCATGCGGGCGGCACCCTCCAGCTGCATGCGAGAGGCGGTGGGCGGCAGGGGGGGAGAGGGGGCGAGGGGTGCAGAGGCGGGCGGTGAGGGTGGTGAGCAGGGCAGGCCCGTGGGCCTGGCAGACAGGGGTGAGCAGAATGGGCACCGTAGAGGGGCTGCTGCATGTGATGATGGGCGTGGGGGGAGGGGTGATCGGATCAGGGGAGGACGTGGAGGGAATGGGAGGAGGGGGAGTGAGGAGGAAAGGGCGAGGAGAAGGGAGGAGAGGAGGAGGGAGCTAGTGAGGAGGCTTATAGAGCAAGGTGACCATATGGAGGGAGCGTGGATTGAGGAGGAGGAAGAGGAGGAAGAGGAAGAGGAGGAGGAGGAGGAGGAAGTGGAGGAAGTGGAGGAAGACGAGGACGAGGGGGAAGAAGAGGAGGCGGAAGAAGAGGAGGCGGAAGAAGAGGAGGAGTCGCAAGGAGACGATGGGGAAGGGGAGGGGCGGGTTAGGGAGCGGCGCAGGGGAGGGGGCGGTGGTGGCAGCGATGGGTGGCGCCCCTGCGGCGAGGAGAGGGGCGAGGAGCGAGGGTGGGGGCGAGAGGTGGGCAGGAGCGCGGTGGAGGGGAGGCGAGCAGGGGAGGAGGGAGAAGGACTGGTCGGGGTGACGGCGACGGCAGTGAGGCCCCGCGTGATGGAGATGTGCGGCGAGAGGGGCGTGAGGCGGGGGAGGGCGAGGAAGGAGTGGGGGGAGGCGTGCGCCTGAGCAGACTGTTGGGACTGTTTGGCGTGCGGGAGGGTGAGGCGAGGACGGATAGGGGAGGGAATGAGGGGGAGGAGGAGGGCAGGGGCGGAGATGGGAGGGGAGATCAAGGTAGCGCGGGCAGCAGGAGGAAGAGGACAAGGTGGGAGGCGTGGGGAGGGGCGGCGGAGCGGTGGGCGATGGAGGAGGTGCGGTGGAGGAGGCGGGCGGCGTGTGCGGCATGGCCCCACTGGGTGTACCGCATGTTCGATGCGTTCAACCTGGCGAGGCGCGTGGCAGGTGAGGTGCACTGTGGGCGTGGCAGGTGAGGTGCACTGTGGGCGTGGCAGGTGAGGTGCACTGTGGGCGTGGCAGGTGAGGTGCACTGTGGGCGTGGCAGGTGAGGTGCACTGTGGGCGTGGCAGGTGAGGTGCACTGTGGGCGTGGCAGGTGAGGTGCACTGTGGGCGTGGCAGGTGAGGTGCACTGTGGGCGTGGCTCGAACATTATGTCGAGACAAGCAGGAGATGAGACGGGCAAGGCCAGGCTGGAGCACGTAAGATGTGCACGAGCATGAGCTGGGACGAGGGATGAGTGAGAGGAGGTCAAGACTCGTACTTTCTTCAGAGATGGTCTGGACCAATCGGGTTGAAGTCATTGGGATTTGGTGATGATCAACCAGTGATAGTAATCTCAACAAGTGAGGCTGTAGTTGATGTGTAACGAGCTTCTGTGGTCATCATTGACATGTTTTGCCCGGCCTTTAGCTCCTCCCTCCCAACTGCATCTTTTTCTCACTCTTGTATCCTTCCCCCCGGGCAGACATGTGTGCGCAGCTGCTACCAGCGCAGGCGCAGCAGCTGCAGGGCCTGACGCGCTTGCCGGAGGCGCTGTCATTCGTGGTGGCGGCCAACATGCCCATCAGCGACCGCCACCGCCTGCACCTACTACAGGTGTGTGTGCCCTCCTCACCGCCCACTGGCACTTACCATGTCACACGCACTGGTGCTGTTTTGCCTTGCTTGGTACTCAAGTGTGCTCCTGCTGCCTGAATTCCGTCCATCGTGTTGTGCTTATGGAGCGTGAGTGGGCGGGGTGTGTGGGGGGGGGGGGGAGGAGGGGGCGTGCGTGCATGGCACGGGTGCAGGTGGGGGCGACGGTGTACCGGCTGCAGAAGGAGATTCGCCTGCTCGAGTGCATCGACCACCTCCTCTGCTCCACCTGCCGGGTACGCCGCTGCTGCACCTGCCGGGTACGCCGCTGCTGCACCTGCCGGGTACGCCTCTGCTGCACCTGCCGGGTATGCCGCTGCTGCACCTGCCGGGTACGCCGCTGCTGCACCTGCCGGGTACGCCGCTGCTGCACCTGCCGGGTACGCCGCTGCTGCACCTGCCGGGTACGCCTCTGCTGCACCTGCCGGGTACGCCGCTGCTGCACCTGCCGGGTACGCCGCTGCTGCACCTGCCGGGTACGCCGCTGCTGCACCTGCCGGGTACGCCGCTGCTGCACCTGCCGGGTACGCCTCTGCTGCACCTGCCGGGTACGCCGCTGCTGCACCTGCCGGGTACGCCGCTGCTGCACCTGCCGGGTACGCCGCTGCTGCACGTGGCTTGAGTGCATGAGGTTGGATATGCTGGGCACGAGAACCTGAACTAATTTGCTAACATTGTTGGAACGTGAACCCCAAATCAATTCTAGCAACTGTGCAGCCTATCGTCTGGAAGCAGCGGTGGGTGTTATGGTGCCACGTGTAGTATTTGCAGGCGTCACAGATTCTAGTTGTCATTGAGGTACGGTACATACATATCTTGGAGCGTATGGTCTTTGGAATGATTGCTCGGCTTCACATAGTCGTGCAGTTTTTCACATAGTCGTGCAGTGTTCCTCTTCCGTCCTCTTATTCTCTTCCCTCTCCCAGCCCAGCCCCATCCATCAGCACTGTCTGCCGCCCACCTGTCTGCCGCCCACCTGTCTGCCGCCCACCTGTCTGCCGCCCACCTGTCTGCCGCCCACCTGTCTGCCGCCCACCTGTCTGCCGCCCACCTGTCTGCCGCCCACCTGTCTGCCGCCCACCTGTCTGCCGCCCACCTGTCTGCCGCCCACCTGTCTGCCGCCCACCTGTCTGCCCCCACCTGTCTGCCGCCCACCTGTCTGCCGCCCACCTGTCTGCCGCCCACCTGTCTGCCGCCCACCTGTCTGCCGCCCACCTGTCTGCCGCCCACCTGTCTGCCGCCCACCTGTCTGCCGCCCACCTGTCTGCCGCCCACCTGTCTGCCGCCCACCTGTCTGCCGCCCACCTGTCTGCCGCCCACCTGTCTGCCGCCCACCTGTCTGCCGCCCACCTGTCTGCCGCCCACCTGTCTGCCGCCCACCTGTCTGCCGCCCACCTGTCTGCCGCCCACCTGTCTGCCCCCCACCTGTCTGCCGCCCACCTGTCTGCCCCCCACCTGTCTGCCGCCCACCTGTCTGCCCCCCACCTGTCTGCCGCCCACCTGTCTGCCGCCCACCTGTCTGCCGCCCACCTGTCTGCCCCCCACCTGTCTGCCGCCCACCTGTCTGCCGCCCACCTGTCTGCCGCCCACCTGTCTGCCGCCCACCTGTCTGCCGCCCACCTGTCTGCCGCCCACCTGTCTGCCCCCCACCTGTCTGCCGCCCACCTGTCTGCCGCCCACCTGTCTGCCCCCCACCTGTCTGCCGCCCACCTGTCTGCCGCCCACCTGTCTGCCGCCCACCTGTCTGCCCCCCACCTGTCTGCCGCCCACCTGTCTGCCGCCCACCTGTCTGCCGCCCACCTGTCTGCCGCCCACCTGTCTGCCGCCCACCTGTCTGCCGCCCACCTGTCTGCCCCCCACCTGTCTGCCGCCCACCTGTCTGCCGCCCACCTGTCTGCCGCCCACCTGTCTGCCGCCCACCTGTCTGCCCCCCACCTGTCTGCCGCCCACCTGTCTGCCCCCCACCTGTCTGCCGCCCACCTGTCTGCCGCCCACCTGTCTGCCGCCCACCTGTCTGCCCCCCACCTGTCTGCCGCCCACCTGTCTGCCGCCCACCTGTCTGCCGCCCACCTGTCTGCCCCCCACCTGTCTGCCGCCCACCTGTCTGCCCCCCACCTGTCTGCCGCCCACCTGTCTGCCGCCCACCTGTCTGCCGCCCACCTGTCTGCCGCCCACCTGTCTGCCGCCCACCTGTCTGCCGCCCACCTGTCTGCCGCCCACCTGTCTGCCGCCCACCTGTCTGCCGCCCACCTGTCTGCCGCCCACCTGTCTGCCGCCCACCTGTCTGCCGCCCACCTGTCTGCCGCCCACCTGTCTGCCGCCCACCTGTCTGCCGCCCACCTGTCTGCCGCCCACCTGTCTGCCGCCCACCTGTCTGCCGCCCACCTGTCTCTCACGAAAGTTCATCACGCACAGCAGCGTGCTTGGCAGCTTTCCTCTCTCCCTCGTCTTCCCATTTCCTCCGTTGTCTGTGCATTGAAACGCCTCCCTGCTCTCACATGGCGTGCACGCACAGTGCACAGCGCATCCTCCCCACACATCTCCTTCTTCCATCCCCCTCCCCTCCGCTCACCTCTGTGAGAGGCAGTGTCGGGTGGCGCGGCGCAGTGACATGGTGTGCATGAGCACGGAGGGCGCCATCAGCGCCTTTGTGAACGCGCATGGCTTCGTGCACGAGACACTCACTCTCTCGCGCGCCAGAGGGCTCGTGCTCGAGGGCAGCGCCGAGAGCGAGAACAGCTGGTTCCCGGGGTAAGCCCAACGAGCCCCCAGGGTCGCGTGGTGAGCGTGCATGGTTGCGTGGCAGTTACATTTCCTTCCTTCCATTCCAATTTCTCCACATTCGTGTTCGGTCCACACGCGTTACGCCACCTTGGTTGGACATTGGATTCACTACGCAACGCACAGCATCTCCCAACACTCCATCTTGTTGAACCCTGTGCACTCCTGCTGCATCTCCATCGCCCTTGTTCCATCCACTGTTCATGCTCCACACCCTTCTCTCTTCATGCTCCACACCCCACTTCTCTGTTCATTCTCCACACCCCACTTCTCTGTTCATTCTCCACACCCCTGCTGCACTGCAGAGCACTCCCCCCCGTATGAGCTTCTCCTTCCCCCCACCCTGCGCTATACCCCCTTCGTTGTGTCTCCTCGGATCGCCCCAATGCTGCCCACTCCTCGGCACTGAGCAGGTACGCGTGGACCATAGCGCACTGTGGGCGATGCGGCATGCACGTGGGGTGGCGCTTCACGGCTGTGCGTCGCGGCCTCAACCCGCCCGCCTTCTGGGGCGTGCGGCGCGCACAGCTCACTGCCGACACCACCCAGGCGGACGCTGATCTTGATGCCTGAAGCTGGTTTGCACCCCCGCTTGTGCCTCGTGCTGCAGCTGCTACCCAGCACTCCTCAGTCCATCTAAAGCTTAGTATGTCTCTCGTTGGTTCTTGTAAATAATGGTGTGTTGAAGAAGCGAACAAGCAATCCAACACGCAAACCAACACAAAATCCAACATGCAATCTAACGCGCAGTTTAACACGCAATCTACCGACACACTATCCAACACATTATCCATCCAACACAGGTTCCAACACCCAATTAAACATGCAATCCAACACTCAATCGAACACGTAATCCATTACGCAATCTAACATGCAGTTCAACAAGGAATTCAACATGCAATCCAATACGCAATCCATCGCCAGGCCTCTCGCTAGCAGGAATTTTTGTCCTGTTTGTCTGATATTCAGGAATGATATTTTTGGATTCATCTGATTTTCGAGTCGCGATCAGAGAAAATCAAAATAATGCCCGGGGGGGGGCCCTGATGAGTTAGGCATCCTCAGAGCCTACGGTGAGCCCTGTCCATGTCAAACTATAATGATGTTTGTGCTGTGTAGGCTGTAGTGGGGTAGCTCATAACGGGTACAATCCACATTAGGGTTACCATTTGTACCCACATCTCTGCTCAATGCATCATTCTCTCGCTTAGTATTCTGGCATGGTTTTAGAGCAGGTCCTGTTCTAGGACTGTTTTTTTTACGGCCCACCGCACAGTTCCCTGCCCGTAGCGCGTTACCCTGCCCGTAGCGCCCTACCTTGTCCATCGCGCTGCCCCACCAGTCGCGTTCCCCTGCTCGCGCGCCGCTCTGCTGGCTACCGAGCTGCCCTGCCCTGCGTCGCGCTGCCCGCGCACGCCCTGCCCTGCGTCGCGCTGCCCGCGCACGCCCTGCCCCGCATCACGCCGCCGCGCACACGCCCTGCCCTGCGTCGCGCTGCCCGCGCACGCCCCGCGGCCTTTCCCTGCCCCACGTCGCGCCGCCCCGTGCACGCCCTGCCTCGCGTCGCGCTGCCCGCGCACGCCCTGCCCGGCGCCACGCTGACCGCGTACGCCCTGCCCTTCCCCGCGTCGCACCGCCCCGCGCACGCCCTGACCTACCTGCTGGCCGCGCGCTACCTTACCTGCTGCCCGCACGCCGTCCTCCCCTGCCTGCACGCCGCCCTATTTGCAACGCGCCCCCCTACTCTGGTCGCACACTGCCCTCCCTGGTCGTGTGCCGCCCCGCCCTACCCTACATGTTACCCTAGTGCCTGCTCGCCGCCCTGCCTTCCCTGCGTGCTGCCCTGCTGGTCGCACGCCTCCTTGCTTTGCCCGCTATGACTTCTCTTCGTGGCAGCGGTGGGAGTGGTGGCGGCAGTGGTGGCAGCAGTGGGAGTGGTGGCGGCGGCCGTAGTGGCAGTCGCGGTGGAGCTGTTCAGTGGGGAGTTTCTGGCGGTGGCCAGATGCAGCTGCAGCGGCGTCCGCGCGAGACCCTTACACCCCAGCAGCTTCGTGAGTGGTACGCTCAGAGTGGGAGTGGTGGCGGCGGCCGTAGTGGCAGTCGCGGTGGAGCTGTTCAGTGGGGAGTTTCTGGCAGTGGCCAGATGCAGCTGCAGCGGCGTCCGCGCGAGACCCTTACACCCCAGCAGCTTCGTGAGTGGTACGCTCAGAGTGGGAGTGGTGGCGGCGGCCGTAGTGGCAGTCGCGGTGGAGCTGTTCAGTGGGGAGTTTCTGGCGGTGGCCAGATGCAGCTGCAGCGGCGTCCGCGCGAGACCCTTACGCCCCAGCAGCTTCGTGAGTGGTGTCTCGGAGGGGACCGAGACAACCCTGTGTGTTGTCTCGAGTACCAGAGAGAGCAGACTCACTAGCACCTAGAGTAGCAAACCTGTGCTTAAGGGTCCGAGACAACCCTGTGTGTATCACTCGACCCTGGTATAGAGGCTGCTACTCTAGGTGCTAGTGAGTCTGCTCTCTCTGGTACTGCGCCTGCTGAGGCCTTGCACACCTTCACGCTTGACTCAGGTGCTTCCCGCTGTTTCTTTCGCGACAGTACCACAGTCACACCACTCCCTGCACCTGTTGCAGTCTCTCTGGCTGTTCTCTGGTGTCGGGCGATTCCGTCTGGCTCACTGACAGGTCTTCACCTCCCCTCGTTCTCTACGAACTTGGTGAGTAACGCCGTCCTTCAGGATGCTTGGGTTGATACCTTTACCCCTGGAGGACAGCGTGTGGCGATCTGCACGTGTGCACGGACGGGCCGTCACGTGGCCACGTTCACCTGTCGGCCTAGGTCGAGCCTGTACACACTGACTACTGAGCCTCCTCAGGTTGCTGCGTCTGGTCAGGTGTCTGCATCAGATCAGCTATCAGCCCCTTGTTCGTGTCGCCTCCTCTCGCACCAGACTCTCCTCTGGCACCACCGCCTTGGTCACCCCTCCCTACAACGCCTCCGTGGCATGCACTCTCGCCTCCTTGTCACTGTTCTTCCCAGGTCTTTGCCCCCTGCCTTCCTTGCATCGAGGGGCGGCAGCGCGCCGCTCCTCACTCCTCCTCATTTCCCCCGACGACTGCTCCCCTGCAGACTCTCCACATGGACGTGTGGGGCCCAGCCCGCGTCCAGGGACAGGGCCGCGAGCGATACTTTCTACTGGTTGTTGACGACTACACACGTTACACCACGGTCTTCCCCTTGCGCAGCAAGGGGGAGGTCCCTGATGTTTTGATCCCTTGGATCCGCGCTGTCCGTCTCCAGCTCCGCGAGCGGTTCTACACGAACTTTCCTGTCCTGCGTCTGCACTCTTGCAGAGGTGGTGAGTTCTCCTCCGACCTCTTGCGGGACTTTTGTCGTGGGGAGGGCATCCTCCAGTCGTTCACGCTTCCGGCCTCCCCGCAGCAGAATGGGGTTGCTGAGTGCCGCATTGGCTTAGTCATGGAGGTGGCTCGTACCTCCATGATCCATGCGGCTGCTCCCCATTTTCTGTGGCCGTTTGCGGTCCGGTACGCTGCGCATCAGCTCAACCTCTGGCCCCGTGTCTCCTTGTCGGAGACCTCGCCTACACTGCGTTGGACGGGGGAGGTTGGCGATGCGTCGATGCTACGGGTCTGGGGCGAACGTACCTTTGTCCGCGATACCTCCGCGGACAAGCTCTCCTCCCGCGCCATTCCCTGCGTCTTCCTTGGCTTCCCCCCTGACACACCTGGCTGGCATTTTTACCACCTCATAACGCGCCGTGTTCTGTCCTCTCAGGACGTCACGTTTGACGAGTCGGTTCCCTTTTACCGTCTCTTCCCCTACCGCACTGCCCCTCTCCCCCCCCCGCCGCTCTTCCTCGCTCCAGGTCCCCCTCCGGTAGACCCCCTCCCCCCTCAAGGTCCTGCTCCTTCAGGTGTCTCTCAGGTAGACCCACTTCCCTTGGCTGAGCCTGTTGAGGTCACTGGCAACTCTGGTGCTACTAGGGGTGGTGCGTCTGGTGGTGTTGAGCCTGCGGGTGCGGAGCCTGGGGGTGCTGAGCCTGAGCGTGAGGAGCCCGGGGCTGCTGAGCCTGGGGGTGTGGAGCCTGGGGGTGCTGAGCCTGAGAGTGCGGAGCCTGGGGGTGCTGAGCCTGAGGGTGCGGAGCCTGGGGGTGCTGAGCCTGAGGGTGCGGAGCCTGGGGGTGCTGAGCCTGAGTGTGCTGGAGCTACTAGTCCTAGAGGTCCTACCGGTGCCTCGCCACCGCAGTCTAGTCGGCGAGAGCCTCTCTCACCACAGCAGCTGCGCGAGTGGTACGCTCGGCGAACCCGCCTTCGGAGTGGCGCTGGAGCTGGAGGCCCTCCCGCTAGAGGCACTGACACTGGCTGGAGGTACTGGGGGTGCTGGAGCTACTGGTCCTGGAGGTCCTACAGGTGACTCGCCACAACTGTCTAGTCGGCGAGAGCCTCTCTAACCACAGCAGCTGCGTGAGTGGTTTGCTCGGCGCACCCGCCTTCGGAGTGGCGGTGCTGGAGCTGGAGGCCTTGCCGCTGGAGGCAACGGCGCTGGAGGCACTGGAGCGGTAGGCGTTGGAGCTGGAGATCCTGGATTTGAAGGCCCTGCCGCTGGAGGCAGTGGCACTGGAGGCACTGGCGCTGGAGGCGCTGGAGCTGGAGACCCTGGAGCTGGAGGCGCTGGCGCTGGAGGCGCTGGAGCTGGAGACGCTGGAGTTGGAGACCCTGGAGCTAGAGGCACTGGAGCTGGAGGTACCGGAGGAGCTGGAGCTGCTGGTCCTGGAGGTGCTCGTACTGGAGGTACTGGAGCTGCCGGAGCTGGTGGTGCTGCAGGTGTACGCTGGAGCTGCCGGAGCTGGTGGTGCTGCAGGCTTTGGAGCTGGAGGCACTGGAGCTGGAGGAGCTTGTGGGGATCTAGGATCGAGCTCAGAAAAGAGAGTTTGAATTGAATGATCACCTGGGTACAACACGAGGCTATATATAGGCTCGACACAAGGGGCAGTAACCAGGTGTTACGCGAAGGTTCCGCGGGTCGCGAAGCGTCCCGAACAGACCCTTCCCAAATTCGGTAGAAGGCAATTCGGTGGCAACCGAATAGCCCAGAATTCGGTGTACGCAACCTAGCTCGGTGCTATAACTATATAAAATATAGGAAAGCACCTAGCCTAGGAATTCAAGCAATTCATGCATGCATAAAATAAAC